ACAATATTGTGAAGTGGATAACTAAAACCTTTTCCATCAAAAATGCTACAAATGTCAGGGGATCTTCAACAAGTTTATGGAAAATATGTACTATGAAAAAAGCATGCATAGATTTCAAAATTATTTTGCACCAAAATGAATTGTTATTTTAATTCCAGCCTTCCATTTTCCATTTTGAAGTTTGCTCATATAACGAACATTCTTTTAAATGTACATTTTATAATAAAGGGATATCCTCAAGAAGATAAAATAACAGAACTATAAAACCAGAGTGCTAGGTAAATTGGCTAATACTGTATCTACCTTGAGTGGGCTGTGTCTAATTGGTCACACTGGGACGGGAGAGAGAAGGTGGGGATTTGAAGCTAAGTATAAAGTCTGGATACGAGTAAGAGATGCGCGAGTTAGAATTAAAAGCCACATTCTAACAAAGTTCCGATTTTTTTTTTTTTGCCTATACTTTAAAAAAGAGGTTTTTTTTTTGGAGAGATTTTCACTGTAGGGCGCGTGCGCTCGCCAGACAGACAGAGAGAGACATAGAGACAGAAAGCGAGAAATCACCCCCCAGGGGGGATGGTCACGCCGCAATCCCTTCTCCTCCATTCTCCTCTCGGGATCTTGGGCACGCACGCACACGCGCCCGGTGTGAGTTTTAAGCCACCGGGTCCGGGACATGAACCGCGGTCGACTACGTGGGAGTCCAGCGACATAGCCATTACGCTAACTGCTGGTTCCCAAAAAAGAGTTTCAACTGAGCTTTCAAATGTGTATATTTTAGGTTCGAATCCACACTATCTATTTGGCAATGAAATTCTTCAAATGAAAAAAATATATATATAGAAGTTGGCCCTGGCTAATGAAACTACAAAACTACTCTGAGGGTTTAATCCTGAACCCAGGTTGTATAGGTTTCCCACATATAAAGTTTCCCACGTATAAAAAATTGAGTTCCTGGAACCAGCAAAAGGCATAATGGTTATTGTTGGACTCTCACATAGTCAAGTGCAATTCGAGTCCTGGACCCAGTAGCTTAAGACTCAGGCTGGGCATGTGTGCATGTGTGCCTAGGATCCTGAGAGGAGAATGGAGGAGAGGGGATTGAGGTGAAACCATTCCCCCTGGGCAGGGGAGGGGGTGGGGAGGTACTTTTAAAAGTCTTTGCCATAGGACACATGTGCTTGCTGGAGAGAGACAAAGAGAGACAGAGAAACAGAAAGTAAGAAATCTCTCCCCCCCCCCGGGGGGATGGCCACACCTCAATCCCTTCTCCTCCATTCTCCTCCCGGGATCTTGGGCACGCACATGCGCCTGGTGTGCGTTTAAGCCACCGGGTTTGGGATGTGAACCACGGTCGACTACATGGGAGTCCAGCGACATAGCCATTACGCTCACTGCTGGTTCCGAAGAGTCATTTATTGTTGTCTACTTCTGAGATGAAAAAAATGTCTGCCTAAACTAAAGGAGTGATTTTAGAAGGGGATAAAAAAGGATAGATGTGGAAAAAAACTAAAGCACACACAGGACTTTTGATCTATTGAATAAGAGTCATTGTCTGGGACCAGCAGAAGGCATAATGGGTATGTCATGGGACTCCCACGTAGTTGGCCACAGTTCAAGTCATGAACCCATGGTTTAAAACTCATACTGGGTGCACGTGTGCGCATGCCCAAAATCCTGAGAAGAGAATGGAAGAGAAGGGATTGCAGTGTGACCATCCCCCAGGGGAGTGATTTCTCACTTTCTGTCTCTCTGGTGAGTACACTAGCACTATAGCCAAAATTTCTCAAAAAAAAAAAAAAAAAAAAGAATCTGTTGGCTGAGTGAAGGAGAATAATGATGATTGCTGAGGGAATTCCTGACAAACTACTAATCCAATGTATGCATCAGCTCTGAAGCTTCAAAATCAGTCTGTGACACCAAAATTTACCATTTCTGTGTTCTGGAGTGAAAAGCTCTCTGAGCCTTAGCTACCACATTCACAATGCCACTTGCCCCCAGTATACTAGGGAATTGCAAAGCTCAGATGAAACACTGATAATACTAAAATATTTGATAAATATTGCATAATAGTAGATAGCAATAGTTCCTCAATCTCGTCACCAAGAGGGACATGTTGTAGAGGCAGAGGGTAGCATGTGAAAGATGTTGGGGGTTCTGAAACTGACTTTGCTTTGTAATGGCTTTGCTAATTCAAGTTGATCACTTAGCCTGAGTCTCAGTCTTATCATCTATAAAATAGGGAAAATGGCATCACTCTTCTTTCTTGTAAAGATTTAGTGATACATATATACATACGTGAAAATGTCTGCATCTCATAAACAATGGCTTCTTTCTTTTTTTTATGGAGAGGTTCTCACTATAGGGCGCGTGCGCTCGCCAGACAGACAGAGAGAGACATAGAGACAGAAAGTGAGAAATCACCCCCAGGGTGGTGGGTCACGCTGCAATCCCTTCTCCTCCATTCTCCTCTCAGGATCTTGGTCATGCACGCACACGCGCCCAACGTTAGTTTTAAGCCACCGGGTCCAGGACATGAACCGTGGTCAATTACGTGGGAGTCCAGTGACATAGCCATTACGCTAACTGCTGGTTCCCACAATGGCTTCTTTCTATACCTTTATTTTTTTTCCCAAGCATATCCCATAGCAATCCATATGAGAAAGATTTTTTCATTGACAAAACACTGAACTAAAGTAATTATTAATTACATGTTCCATTTTCAGTTAATCCTACATCTTTCTATATTCTTTTTTAGAAAATGTATTTATTTATCTTTTTAGTTTTTGCTTTAGGGCACATGCACTCACCAGACAGAGACAGAGAGAGAGGAAAGGTGAGAGATTACCACCAGGGGAGATGGCCATACTGCATGCCCTACTCCTCCACTATGCTCATGGGGTTTTGGGCAGGCATACACACACACACACACACACACACACACACACACACACACACACACAAACACACCTGCAGTGATTTTCAAGCTGCTGGGTGCAGAAATCAAGCCACCAAGCTGGTCAGGTGGGATCTAGTGCCTTAACCTCCACACCACCTGTTGGCACTCTATATTCTCTTTTTATCTGTATCAATACAGATGTAACAACGGATAGATAGTGGGATAGCAGCTGAGTGTTTGGTGTGGACTGAAAAATCTGTCCTGGCTAACATTCAAAAATACTGACTCGCTAAGATCAATTTAATAAAAAAAGATAGGTATTTTATTTTAAAAGATAATTTTTTATTACAGTAATAAACTGAAGCAATATTTAAAAATATTACAGTCACTTACACATGTATAATTTTTTTTTTTCTAATCAATCTCACTCTGTCATGATCCTCCTGTTTCAGCCTCTTAGTAGCTGGGACTGCAAGAGTGCAACACTATCCTCAGCTCCTTTGACAGGATCTTACAAGCTTGCCCAGGTCAACCTTGAGTTTGTAATCCTTCTGCCTCAGTCTCCCTAGTACTTGGATTACAGGTGAGACTTCACCATGCCCAGAGTTCAGGTTGAGCAGGAAATCCAACCTGGGGCTCCCATGTGGGCTTGGCTTCTGGAACAGCAGTATCATTTTAGCAGCATGAACTACTGTGGCTGGGTCACGCAGGTTATTATCTAAATTTAAGGTAAAATAAAAACTCTCTATAATCCCCACTGGATAAAATCCTTTGTAATTTTTATGCTTAGTGTTTTTAAAACATTTGAGGGGGTCAGCAGGTGGTGTATTGGTTAAAGTGACGAACTCCTACTTGGTTGACTAAGCACTTCAAGTCCTGGACCTGGCATATGTGCATGCGTGCTCAAAATCCTAAGAGGAGATTGAAGGAGAAGGGATGGCATGGCCATCTTCCCTGGCGGGGAGTGAAGAGGTGGAGAGTGATTTCTTGCTTTCTGTCTCTTTGTCTCTTTCTGCCTCCCCAGTGAGTGTACGTGCCCTATAGCAAAATCTTTCCCCAAAAAAACAAAAACAGAAAAAAACAAATAGAAAAAAGACTTTCCAGTAAAAATCAGACATTACTTATTTGTTAGAGGAATAAAACACAATAATATACAAAGGAACCAGTGCTGTGCCTCATAAGACATCTTGCTAACTTTACTTGCCACCTTATTTTGTCACTTAATTATCAAAGACCTTCCTGGAAGATGATTTTCAGCTTCTCGAGTTTTAAAATTATTCAGGATTGAAGGCCTTTGACTCTCTCGCAGCTCCTCTCCAAGCTGAAACTCGCTCCCTAGTTTCTACCTCTTTCAGCTCTCTGAGGAACATTTTAATGGAGTTTAGTCCAACGTTGGGACTTACCTTTCAGTTTACTGCTCTCTCCTTTCCTCACTAGACTGTTCACAATCTTTCTGTTTGTTCTTTCTTTCCTTACAAGAAGCACTAACTCTTTCTTGGACTAAAAAACGTAAGACCCCTTTGCTCCTTTTACTATGCACAAGGGATTACTACATAGTGATTTAACTTCCCTGGGGAAGAGTAGTCTAGTATATCTGCTCTCCCTCTGTTTAGGGCGCAGCAAGCTGCCTATTGATCTTAATTTTTCATGTATTTATTACCTTTACAGTTATTCATTGAATAGCCTTGTCTGAAAGGTTTCTTTGAAACAACAGGCTTCTATAGAGATTAAAGTTACAAAATATAAATATAAATGTTTAAAAGCAAAGCAAACACATAGAAAGGAAAGAAATGAGGTTTATTAAAATTGCTTCAATTCCTCACCATGGAACTTGAAAAATTTAATCATCTAATGGTGAAAGCATGGTGAGAAAAAACTGTTTAGAGGAAAGAATACTCAAGCGTTACTTTTGCCCTTTAAAAACATGAAATCAAGAAAAAACAAATCAATTGTTGGAATCAACTTAAAACTTAATCACATTATCAAAGGAAGCAAAAAATAAATGCACATTTAATCATTCTTTTAGACTCCCATTTTTCTGTCTGGGAAGTTGTGCCTAAAGGTGATCTTGGTAAGAAGACTTTTTAGGTAAATGAGTACTTACCATCATCTTTGTCAGGGAGGATTGTAATCTGAGCTCCTGGGAACTCTGATCCTATTCTCCCACCCATGGCCATGCTCAGGAGGACACGGAATGTTTCCTCTTCTTCGTACAAGGAGTCATCAATAACAACTATCCGACACATTTTCTCCCGCTCATCCTTGTCAAATCGAACAACACTGGTGTGGTCCTCAGGCCTGGATATGTAATCAGAATAAGACAACACTGAAGTCGGCACAGTTCCCGTTGCTGTTCCTGGAGGTGGAGAGAGTCCAGAAGATTTTTATGTAAAGTATATTACAAGGGTGTTTCCAGAAACAATGATTTGCAGTGCAGCATTTTAACGGTTAATTTGTATACAGAACATGAACATGCTAGAAATTGCAATAGTAAGTACATACTGTTCTGGAATCATGAACCAACTCCAGAATGACCTCAACCCTCTGATGAGTACTAAATTTCAAGTTTCTCCTGTCTTTCCTGTCAATGGATATTTTGATCAATATACTATTACAAAACAATAGTGTCTGCTAGTCCAGTTCTTACTATGTACAGGCAAAGTGCCAAGTGCTTTAGCTACTTGCCTCTCATGAATCCTCTGATCCACTCTCTTGGGTTTGACCCATTTGGTAACTGAAGTTTACAGAAGTTAAGCCACTGGCTCTGTGACCCAAAGTCCAAGGCTTATCCTGAAGTCTGGTTTTAATTACTATTCTGTACTGCTTTTTAATTCACACATATGTATTAATGGAAAATTTAGCAAAAGTCTCAGAGCACCAACAGTATATTTGACTTTTCATTTGTACTTTTAGAAAAGCAACTTGTTTTCTAGAAAGGTACTAGTATACTAGTAAATTATATGCATTAATTTAATTTCAGATTAATTATCTTTTATAAGATGCTTATGTATGTGCAAAACAATTATTTTGAAAATTTGAAATGGGTTTTAACTACTGTAAAATTAGTTTATTTTTATTCCATATTCATTGCCTTGCCTCTTTTTAAAAAATATTTTAAAACAATAGCCCTCTTCTACTTCAACAGGCTTGGGTGGGCTTCAGTTTCTTGCAATTCGAAAACTCTTAGTGTATGTAAGTGACCAAATGGAGTCAGACCTTCCATGCTCATTGTTTCTTTCTATTTTCTTTTATTATATGTTTGGCCAAAAAGCTTATGCACTCACCAGAGAGAGACAGAGAGGAGAGAGATGGAGAAAACACAGGGCTTTCTCCCAATGGGGCATGGTCATATTGCCTCCATTCCTCCATCCTGTCAAGGATCTGGGGCAAATATGCACAAGTGTGTGGCATGTTTTTCTAATTGCCAGGACCAAGATTTGAACTACATAGTCAGCCATGTGAGATCTAGTTTCCTTAACCATTAGACCTAAGGGCTGGCCCTGCAGGCTTCCATAGAGCAGTCTTCAAAGATACAATTCTGAAGAAAGTCTTCTAGTTTTTTTTTTTTTTGTAAATCAAGCTACCTTGTTGGGTATAACAGAGCACCATTAACTCTTGGCTGACATCTCCACTTCTCCTGATGGGAATGAATAGTTCGCCAATGTCTTCTTCAATGGAGTATCCAGACTGGGGAATAAATACGGTTGATTCTAAAGAGAAAACACAATCACAGCCACTATTATTTTTGTCTAAACATTTTGTCTCTGAAACAATCCTATGCAAAGTAAAATTTCTGTCATGATTGATTTCCTCCCCTTGCACATTCAGTTAAAATGACACAGTGTAAAGGGAAGCATGGAGGCGAGGGGGAAAGAAGTGTGTATGCAGGGTGTAGGCTGGGGGCCAGTGAGTCTTAAATCTGAAAACAAAACCCAACATGGTTTTCTTTTCCAGTAATTGCTTTTCTCTCATCTAATAAGGACTGCTGACATAGTTTATTCAAACCTTGCTTTATTCCCTTGGGATACATTACCACCTTCCAATGGAGTAGAATTGGAGGGGTAGAAATATCCTCCGAAATCATCTTGTCCCTCCTCTCTACAGATAAAGAAACTCAGGCTCATACAGTTGGAATTAATTTGCCAAGGACTTTTACTGGTTGAATCAGGATTAGAACTCAGACCCTGTAATGTCTATGTTGTTGATTTTTCCATGCAAACTGTTCTCCTTTTAGACGATTCATGATTTAAAATATAATACTATATTCAAAACTACATTAAATAGCTATTTCTTTCACATTCATGAATCAGCTGTAAGTAATAGCTCTACAGCTTCCTTTATCCTCTGGTAGGGTAATAATAATACACAGTGTATGATGTTATATTTCTATACAAGGGATCTTTAAAAGTTTATAAAAAATGTGTATTATAGAAAATCAGGCATAATTTCAAAAATATTTTTGCACCTCAATGAAATTTATTTTATTTCCACAAACTTTGAAATATTGTAAGTCTCAATGATTCATATTTCATGTAGTTAAAAAATACACTAAACAATAAAAATGGCATAGTTAAATTGTTTAACAATACATGTACTATGTAAAACTGTAACCGGCATTTAGTTCAATAGTTTGACATTCTGAACCCCAAACAGATATCTAGTATTTGACTGGGAATCTGTTTTAGTGAGCCTCACATCTACAAAGAAATCACTTCATGATTATTTTTAAAACAGCAAGCCTCACTGCTTTTGATGATAATAAAAGACCATTAGAATAGTGGATCCAGCCCTCAAGGCCCACACTCCACCCTGCTCTGTACCCCAGGAGCTGCATGGAACTGCATCAAATGTTTTTGTCACACTCCTTCCAGTTGGGTCAGCCAAAGGAGGATGCAGGAAAGATCTTGGAAGGCAAGAATAGGGTGAGGTTGGGCATTTATTCCCCAGGCTCTCCACAGTATTTCCAGAGTTTCCTGCACCCCACCTTCTACTAATGGTCCAAGTGCCTATGGAGTCCTAACTCACTCTGGGCTCAGCCCACCTCTCCTCTCTGTGCCCCTCAAGCCTAGAGGTGGTAAGGGTTCCCATTGTCACTAGCCTTAGAGCACTCTGCCATGACTGGGGGTTTTAAGGCCCTTGTCCTTACCTTCATAAAATAGTCATACAATTAAATTCTTTTGTGATTTCTCATTTCAGGTGCCATGTGTTTTCTCCTGGGATTCTGGATAATACATTAATTTTAAAAATGCCCCCGTTAAAAAAAAAATCTATCAATTATTTATTCATCAGATACTGATAGGGTGACTAACTTGCCTGGTACTGTGTGAGGCACAAATACTATAGTCTTGTGGAGTTTTCATTCTAGTTGGGGTGGCAGGAAGAAGAAAATAAATAAATATACAAGAAAATACATAGTATGTCAGGAGGTGACAAATGGTATGAAGAAAATAGAGTGTGTGTGGGGCAACAGAGCCCTGGGCACGTGGGGATGAAGGGTCTACAGTATGCAGGAAAGTCATGGAAAGTACCTCTGCTAGAGTCATGTTTGAGTTGAGACCCAAGTGTGATAATGAGATTCCCCCATGTGAATTATTTAGAAAAGAGAATTCCAAGCAAAGGGATGAACAGTGAAAAGGACCTCAGGCCAGGTTGTGTCAAGTGTGTGCAAGGAATAGCCAAAGTAGTTGGAGCAAACGGGGCGTAGAAGAGAAGGTAAGATATGAGGCCAAAGGGGTGGCGACATGATGGATGGTAGACACACAGCATGGAGACTTCTAGACTATTGGAACAACTTGGAATTTACTCTAAGTTGTGGAAACAAAAACTACCCAAATAGGATGAGAACAAGAAAAGTCGACGGATTCAGAGATGACTCTATCAATGGAGTCAGCTACCATCACTTGCGTTTTGTCAGAAGCTCAAAGGCAGGAAAAGGAGTGGGAAAGTTTAATAGTGGGAACAAGGGAAAGCTTCAGGTGTGCCCTGGTTGGAGGCTGGCGGCATGGAAAAGTGTAGTGCATGAACTAAAAGTGGGGCTTTCTGTGTGACTGTTTAGGGGACATATTTGGTTTTCTTTAGTTAGTCTACAGTTTGAAGTAGGACCCAAAATTAGGCAAGCTGTCAGGTCAAGTCCTGACCATTTGATGCTGATTGCTATGATGGTTTTGGCTTGGCTTTCTGGTTGTTGTAAGCTGTGGGTCAGAGTTACAGTTTTTTTCTTTTCTTTCTTTTTTTATTTTATAGATAGATTTTTGCTACAGGGCAATGCGCTCACCAGAGAGACAGAAAGATAGAAAGCAAGAAATCATGCCCCCAGGGAGATGGCCACACCATAATCCCTTCTCTTCCACTCTGCTCTTGGGATTTTGGGCACACATGTACATGTGCCCAGCATGCATTTCAGGTTGCCAGGTCCAGGAGTCAAATCATGGTTGGCCATATGGGAGCAACCATTACACCATCTGCTGTGCCCCAGAGTTATATTTTAATATGTACTGTGGCCATTTGTTTATTCAGTCTCTCCCCTTTTTTATTCTTTTGATTTTGACTTTTTTATTTATTTTTATTTTTTTGCTTCTTTTTTTACTTATTTTTTTATGCATTCAATCACTGTATATTATTACAGCTTATAAAATAAATTTTCCCAGCTTGAATACACTGTATATTAGTCCAGTTAAAGGTATTGTCATACACATTATCATCAACAGATAATTTTCCATTTTTGTGTCCCTTAAATGTCTTGCTTCTTTTAGGCTCTCAGTACAGAATCATAAGACATCTATGGACATGAATGGGTGTTGTAATCTGCCATACTTCTTGTGAGATAGACATTTGGTGCCAATATCTGAAGCAAAGAACCTGGTTAAGAGGCTTTGTAGTCATCCAGGAAAGAAACAGAACCTGGTTAGGAGACTTTGTAATCACCCAGATAAGAAATCCTAGAAGCCTGGACCAGAGGTGGTATACAGGAATATAAAGGAACAATCAAAGAATTTTTCCAATGATTATATGTGGGAAGTGAGAGACATAGAATAATCAAGAATGACGTAACATTTTCTTGACCAACTAGAAAGATGAAATTGCTGTTGTTTTGGTTTTAGTTTTTGGGTTGTTTTTAGTTTTGCTATAGGGTGTGTATGCAAGCCCGAGAGAGAGAGAGAGAAAGTGAGAAATCGCCACCTCCCCAATAGGGGATGACTATGTTATAATCCCTTCTCTTCCAGTCTCCTTGGGATTTGGGCACTCATGCAAATGCACCCAGCATTCTTTTCAAGCCCCTGGGTCCAGGACTTGAACCATTTAGTTGGCCATATGGGATCCAGTGCCTTATCCTCCATGCCACCTGCTGGATCCAAAGTTGCTGTTTATAGATGTGAGGAAGACTGCAAGAGCATCAGATGGTAGGGTGGAAATTCAGAGCTCTAATCTGGACACATGAAAAATAAGGTGTCTTTTATATCAATGCTGAGATGTCAAATTAACCAGCTGAGAATAGAATCCTGATTTCAATGGAAAGGTCCAAACTAGAAATATAATTTGAAGTCACTGACATGCTCACCATGTATAAAGCTATGAGTCATATAGGGAGGAATTATAGATAAGGAAGAGAAAGGATCCAGGGATTCACCTGGGGGCATTTAGAAGTCAAAGAGATAAGAATGAGTGGAGGCTAATGAAGACAGCCAAGGGAGTGTGAGTATTGAAGGTCAAGTGCAAAAAGTGTATTATGAAAAGGGAGTGATCAATTGTTTGGAATGCTGCTGACAGGTGTAGTAAGTTGAGAACTGAGTGCTGATCATTAGTGTAGCAAAGGGAAGACACCAGACACTGGTCATCTTTATCAGAACTATTCAGTGAAGTAGAGGAAACAAAAGCCAGAAGGAGGGACCTGCAGTTAACATAATGGCTATGTCATTGGACTCCCATGTAGGCGACCATGGTTCGAGTCCCAGACCCAGTGGCTTAAAACTCACACTGGGTGCATGTGCATGCATGCTCAAGATCCCAAGAAGAGAACGAAGGAGAAGGGATTGCCATGTGGCCATCCCCCCAGGGGTGACTTCTCACTTTCTGTCTTTCTGTCTCTCAGTCTCTCTCTGTCTTTCCGGCAAGCACATGCACCCTATAGCAAAAACCTCTCAAGAAAAAAAAAAGCCAATAGGAGAAGATGCGAGATGGGAGGAAAGAGACTAGAGACAATAGACACAGGCATTTCTTTAAGAGGTGCTGCTTTAAGTGGGAACAAGCAGCATCTGGAGAACTGTCTTTGATGGTTTAATTTTTAAAATGAACATTAAGCTTAAGAATGGCACCTACTATTATGAAATAAGATTTAAGCAAATATAAAATTTTAACATAGAAATTCTCATAAGACTTTAGTACCAAAAATACATAAGGTGTTATGAAATAGTCAAGTTAAATGAGTTTCAATAAGTGTCTTTTCATTAACTTAGGAGCACTAGCTCCAGTACTGTCTAAGTTCTGACAGTCTTCAGGTCATGTCCTCCATAGCGTTAATATGAAATATCACAGCAAGCGAGATTTGTTTAGTAGGGTTTGTTATGGACTGAATTTTTGTGTTTCCCAAATTCATATGAAGTCCTAACACTGATGTGATGATATTAAAATATGGGACCTTTGGGAAGTTAGTAGGTTTAGATGAAGTCATGATAGGATTTGGTCCTAATGAGAAGAGGAAAACTAAGATCTT